AGGGCGCCCTTCCAATTCTCAGTCCCCCTGGCATTAGCCTGCGACTTCTCAGACTGAATTCTAGCCTCCCCTGCCCGGGCAATGTCCGATAATATACCCTTCGCTCGGTTCACCTAAGGGGAGCGAGACGACACTAGGTAAGTGGAGTAACAATAGAGATTCAGCCGTTTTACGTGAAATACTCTGTGAAAAAGGCGATATTCGCGGTGATATGCAGTAGTCGTGGAATACATTTTTCACTAGTGTTTTCCATATCACTAGGGTGAAACTCCAACGACAACCATCAAGTACTGAAGGCTATATTCCTATTGTTCCAAGTAACGACTAGGATATACTGAGCTCAGTGAAAGAGATAACAAAAGAGAGGCTTCTCCATTGTTGGTGTATTCGATATACTTCCCCCTCAGGCGATAAACCCTAGCAGTGGCTGCACTCAAGCCGGACATACCACTCCTCTTATAAAACTATGTCAATCAGATGTATACCCCCCATGGCCCAATACTACCAACTGGTATATCTCATCATCCACCAAGTCCATAAGGTTGCTGGGCACCTCATACCCCTCCTTGGCAATCCTATTAGCAACCTCTCTGCCTCTGACACCCCTCCAGTGATGCATCATGTCTTGGGTCCGCCTGTCCACCCTAGCGTATATCTCTCGACCAAACAATCGTATCCCACTAAGGGCTCGCTGTGCCTTGAACGCCGCCCCACACGAACGGTATTCCGCAACAGCGAAGGTCTCCCCCGGAACCCTCCAAAGCTGTATGAACTGGTCATTGATCGACTCTATAGCCTCCTCGCGTTCTGCAGTAGTAGAAGTAGTCTGCTTCTCATCGTCAGCTGGTGCCGCCGCCACTCTGAACATCTCATTGAGCAGCTCCATATCCGCTCTAGGGTCGAGATGGAAGGCGAAGAGGAGGCCTCGTCGGACCCCGCTCGTCCCCAATTTGTACGCGGGTCTTCTTGAACCCCCTGTAGGGCGGGTGTTGATGACCCCTTCTGATGGTACTCGAACAGGTGGTATCGGCATCGCTGGAGGCATGGGAGGACCTCCACCAGGCATGGGTGGCGTGCCCATCATAGGAGGCCCTTGGGACGGTAGAGGTGGGGGCATCATCATCCCCGAAGGCGGGGGTGGTCCGCGGGGCGGGGGACCCCAGTTAGTCCCATGCATAGGGGGATGGTCGAAGCCTTTACCCTTGCCAGCCCACATAGGAGCCCATCCACCTGGCATTGGAGGCATCATCGGGGGTGGGCCGAATCCCTTGCCACCAGGGAAGCCCTTACCGCCGA